CTGAGGATCACATAACGCATTTAGTTATCTTGGCTTCGCAGTCTCCTTGCATCCATCGGTACCTTCACACTGAAGAGTGCAGTTCCCTCTGCCTTGGTTGCTGGCTCAGGTCAGACTGGGGCCCTGCACTTTGGCAGGAAGCCCAGAAGGATATGCCCTGGGGCACTGTACCAGGAGGCCTGCGGTGTCTATATGTTCTGTTTGTGACGATGGTGACTTTGAACCCGTGGTTACAGGCTGTCAGCTGTTGGTACTCTCAATTACTTTTTTCCTCTTTACAGTTAAATAATCTGTGCCAAGCTACCTTGAAAATATGAGTATCTCATATTCCAAACACAAAAAAACAAACCAAATGCCTGGGACTTTCATCCACATCTCCTCACCTGTTGAAGTGTCTTGTCAGTACAATTATTACTAAGAAAAAAAAATATTACTAAGGTTGCTGTCAAATGCAGATTTTCAAATTTCAGAATTTCATCCATGTTTACTAGCTGAATCTATGGACTGTCGTATTTGTTTATGTGTGCACTGCCACACGGGGCTGTCTCTCCTTCCGAGATCTGGGATGCTACCTTCCCAGGCCTGTGACTGCAAAATTCTCCTCTGCTCTACACAGATTTGGGCTCAGTTCCCCCAACACCAGTATTAAGGATTGAACCCAGGGCCTTCACAGCGAGCTACATCCCCAACCCTTTTTATTTTTTACTTTCACTACGGCACTAAATTATCCAGGCTCGGCTCAAACTTTTTTTTTTTTTAAATCTGTACAAGCTTCTACTCTGAGAACCGTTTGGTCTCCACAGAAGCCAGAACTGAGGAGGTGATTTATTTGTCATCACAGTGCCCCCAACTTGCTGCAGAGTATGTACATCAAGAGACAATATAGAGATTCCAAGTGACTGTGATCAAGACACCAAGGGAATTACTTACAAAGATTTTCTAAAATGTGTAAGTTCTACTGACTGCCCAGAGAGATGCCAACAGTTGCTGTAGCCCCAAATGCTGACACAAGATGGCAGCTAGAACATAAAACCCCATCACCCAGTGAACCAATCACTTCTCAATCAAGGGGCAGAGTGGAAGCAGCAGGGAGTGCAGGGAAGGCTGTTTCAGCAGGAGTGCAGGTTTGGTTGCAGCCACAGGACAGCTTTCCTTGTCTCCAACGTCAGCTCGAACTTTCGATCCTCCTACTGCAGCCTCCAGAGTGCTGGAATTACAGGCTTTTGCCCCCATGCCTGGCTTGGGCTGAGCTTCTTAGGTTTGCTCAGATTTCAGCAAATGGCTTGAGTCCTGACAATCTAGTGGGTGAGACTCACAGACACTCTTGAGGCCTCCTCCACACCTTCCGCCCTCTGCCCGAGGTCCTTAGCCTCTGGCCAGTTGCAAATGCAGGGAGCTGAGCTCTGTACATTCCCCTGGCCACGGATCTCAGCCTTTAGTCATTTCAGCTTCTACAACTCACTCAAACCACACAAATCACTGGTTTCTCTGGCCTTTCTAGGTATTCTTTTTAGGACCATTTTAGAGTGGTAAATACTCCACTGTATCCTGAAGTGGAGTTAATTATACCTACAGGATACATTTATGGAGAGAATTTCCAGTTCAGAGAGCATGACGATACAATTAATCTGTCTTTATCTTTGCTCATTTTATAGGTAAAATACCTCACTTTAATTTAGTTTTACTTAGTACTGAGGCTGAATTATCTTCTCAGTTACAATGCTTCTCCCTACAGTGAAATTTCACAGGGACAGAACTTTCGTCTCAGTCTCTCCTATATTGGGTACGCCAAAAGCAGGCTCTGGCAGGCTTGGCATACACCTCTGATGCTCAAAGTCAACATGCTTGTTCACCGCTGTTGCTCGTTTCCCTGGCAATGTTTTGTTTTTGGAGTGGCAGCAGACACTGCTTCTTTACTTCTGACGTCCCCTGTGCTCTCCGAGGTGCATAGCTGCTAAGTGAGCTGGGAGTTATTTCCAGGTGGTGGCAACCCCACTGCCCCTCAGCTGCCTCAGCCTCTGTCCACTGTGTGGCACAGGGCAGCCCCGAGGCTAGGAAGGGTCCCACCTCTATGCTGAGTCAGCTACAAGTCAGTGACCTGTGGCTGGGATGTGACTCCTCACTTGCTGGAGGATATGGATCCAGCCCAGGGCCACACACCACAGGGTAGGCAATGACAGTCCTGCCACGGGAGCACCTACTAGAGTGCCCACTACCCGTCACACCCTGGGCAGAAGCACAATCCCCGACTTCCTGACCCCTGTGCTGAGCCTGCTCACTCCAGCCTTGGGTCCTCCCTCCCTCCCGCTATGTGTGGCTCTAGGACAGCACCTGCCCCTGTGAGGGTCCTGGAGAGAGGACTTCATGGGGGTCCTGGGGCCCTTGCTCAGCTGGCTTGGGAGGCGAGGCAGGGTAGGGCAGGGCCAGGTGACAGAGGACTGAGGTTCTCCTCTTCCTCCTGCAGCTTCTCAGATCTGGATACTGAATCCACTGTGTCTTCCGTTTTCCTTTGTGGATTTCTACTTTAAGACCTCCATGACAGCTGGGTGCGGCGGTGCACACCTGTAAGCCATACACTTCGGGATCCTGAGGCAAGAGGATCATAGGTTGGAGTGCAACCCAGGCAATGTAGTGACTTAGAGACTCTGTCTCAAAAAAAAA